AAAAAAAAAAAAAAAAAAAAAAAAGGGAAAATGACTCTTAAGGGCCGGGGATTTAGCTCAGTAGTTCGGTGGCCTGTCTGGCAAGCGCAAAGATCCGAGTTCAATGCCCGGTACCAAAAAAGAAAAAAAAAAAAAACATCAAACCAAGTTGCACCATGTTGTGCTGAGCTCTGAGCCTTTGGATCTGTTCTTTCCTCTGCCTGAAACACGTGCTCCCTCTCTCTTCCTTCCTCTGACTTGTTCCTATTATCCCTGAGATCTTACCTTATATATCACCACCTCTGAGAGCTCATCCTGCCCTGCCAGCACGGCAGAGTGGGTTGGGTAGCTCCTGTTTAGAAACCACAATATCTCCTGGACTTTTCCTTGAGAAACACTGGTCACAGTGAATTGTGGCCCTGAATTGTCCACATCCTTCACAGCCTCAGAAGATGGCTGGATGGTTGAAAACAACTCCGTGTGTCTGCCTCTCAGCTCACTCAGGTTTCTTAGGTGACCTCCTCATGTTTGTGCACAGGGTTTAGAATATGGCCAACAACGGCCTTGGTGCCAAACAGGATTCCCATGGAGTGGAAATTCTTGGGACAGGTGAACCCGAAGTTTTATATGCATCCTGGGACCTCTCAAAAAGCTATCTGGAAAGGTGGGTGTGGTGGCACATGCCTGTAATGCCAGCACTTGGGAGGCTGAGGCAGGAGGATCGCTGTGAGTTCGAGACCAGCCTGGGCTACATAGTGAGTTTCAGGTCAGTCTCAACTACATAGTGAGACCCTGTCTCAAACAAAACAAAACAAAACAAAACAAAACAAACAACCAAAAAAACTATCTGAAAAGAATGAAATGGGGAAGGAGGGCATGAATGAAGAAAGAGGGAGGAAACTTGGAAATATCTCTCTGGGACAAAGTGGGGGTGATAACATCTTAAATCAGAAATCAGAGACCAAAGTTAAGAGAATCTGAAAGATTCAGGAAGTACAGTTCTTATTGGAGAACTAACTGGACCCCACAATGGGACCATAAAGCCCCTCACAACGGGGCCCTGAAGTCCCATGAAGTATTTACTGGAGAAATGAACTCCATCATGGTATCGCGGTACCATGGAACAAGGTGGGTGTGGACACTGAGCATGAAGTCTGAGTCGTATCCAAGGGAGAGTGAACACACATCAAGGAAAGAGATAGATAGAATCCAAGGGCAAGAAAGACATCGAGACTATATAAGAATCCCGCATTGCCTTTCTAGAATGGAAGCTACCTAGAATGGAGTCTACCCACCTGTTAGGAAGCTTTTTACCACTCCTGTCTTTAAAGAACATTAATCTGTCACAAAAGAGTGGTGCTAAAAAACTTCTGAAGACTTTCTAGGCTTCTCATCTTAGAATCCAATTCTTTCCTTGCACAGCCAGTCTCACCTGTCACCCTCATTAACCAAGCAATGATTCTTCTGGAATCAGAAGAATCTGGGAAAGGAGAATAACTCCAGCCTAATTCTTCAACCTGTTAAATTCTGCTTAGTAAAACAGAAACGACCACTCTTCAGGGGTAAGGCGATAAGGCTCCCTCTGTCCCCAGCATCTGCTCTGTCCTTCCTGTCTCTTAGTCTGAGCTCCCCAGAACCTCACCCCACTGTAGTCTGAGCTGGGGTCGGCTGAGCTGTTTCTGAGGCTGAGGAACTCTGGGCCCCACCTGTCTCCCTGAGCCAGGGAGGGTCTGTTAAGAAGCCATGGGTAGAACTGACTCCAGAAATCCCTACATGGGGATGCCTGAGGTTGGTCAGATAGGGACGTTACCTCCTCGGCCCTCACTGGCAGCCGGCTTCACTTGGATCGGACGATTCATCTGAAAGACATTGGACCAACACACGCATTCAGCATGACCACTTGGTCCTGGGACCCAGGTTTCTCAGCCCCTGGACTACCTCAGAATCTGAGCCCTGACCCCTTTGAACTCTGTGCTCTAGCACTCCCACTGGGATCACAAATTTCTCCAAGATCCCTTAAAGCCAGGCATTTAGAAAGGGCTGAAACCTTCAGGGATGGGGAGCAGGACGAAAGCCCAGGGTGGACTGAGATGGCGGAAGAGATTCCTCTGCCATTGGCTCTGGGTGGAGCCATTTGAGATCTGTCTCTCTCTGTCTCCTGAATTTACTTAAAGGCTTTGAGTGAGAGGAGGTGGGTGGGAGGGTGCAATTGATCCTGCCCATTTGTGTTTTAAGTCTAAAACTAAGGACTTCCGCTCTGTGTTATTTAGATGAAATCAGATTTGGTGCTGTCTACCCCAACTCTACCATCTCACGGGTGTATGAGTTGAAGCAAGCCACGCTCTCTCTCAGGTTCAGTTCATCAAATGGGGAAGCTGTTCCCAAGCCCCCGATGTCCCCACACTCTCCGCACTCACTCTATCTGTCCCCTCCCTCGTCCCCTTCCTCAGAGGATGCTGGAGCTGTCTAGGGCACCACCCGAGGCCCTTGCCCAGCCCACTCTTCCCCTCCTTCCTGGATGGTCTCACCCACACCCACGGCCGCTTCTATCCACACGCGGATGACTCAGAGCTCTGCGTCCCAGCCCACATGCTCTCCTGAGCCTCACATCCATGTTCCCAGCTGCCTGATGGACATCCTGGCTAGAAAGGCCCATGGCACCTTCCACTCATCACACCCGAACCATAGATCATCTTTCTCCCGAACCTGGGCCTCCCAGGCACCCAAGCTGTAAAGCCAGAAGCAGCCTGACTTCTCCCACCATGGCTGCCCCACCCTCCAACCAGTTACATCTTCTAATTCAAGGGTTCTCTAATCAGAGCCAGTTAAGAATCCCCTGGGAACCATAGGAGACTCTTAAACTGGGGGGATTGTATGCTTTGAAAAGCTCCTAGGTGATGCTAATAGATACCCCCCACAACCCCATCCCCCAACCACCCTAAGTGAATTCATGATTGAACCCCATCTCACCTTCCTCTCATGGGTGTTGTGGGGATCACATGAGGTAATGGGGAAGCAAAAGGTCTTGGTAAAGTGCCAAGAGCCGGGTGCGTAGGAGGTGAGGAATTATTGTTGGGGGGGCAGAGAGCTGAGTGCCGGGAGGAAGGAAGAGCAGCCTTCCTGTTCACGGAGGAAGGGTTACTGATGCCCATCTGGCCTGAGAAGGTGATGATCTGACCCCCTCCCCTCAGGAAATGCACTGCTTCTGCACCAATCAGGGGCCACTCCATCTCCTACCAATGTGCTCGTTGCCGAGACAACAGGCAGCTTCCTGTTACCATAGCCACAAGTGCTACCCAGTAACTATGGTAACGCCCTGGCAGTCACAGTTGAGCAATTTCCTTTGGATCAAATTGGGGGGTGGGAGGGGTGGGGAAGACTTTAAAAAAAATAAAATAAAAACAAGGAAAGGAAAGCAGGCAGAGCTTGAAGCAGCACAGTCGCCTTCCCACCCAGGGCTCTGACACATCCACCTGCTAGTGGTATGCCAGTGTGCCAGGCAGTGCGTGGGGACCGAGACGCCAGCAGGACTCAGTGCACTCTAGAGGGGATGACAGGTCTAGCCAAGCAAATTAGGGTGAGCAGGACAGGTCTGGACTGGCCTGGACCAGGAGGACAGGACCATCCCTGGAAATGGCCACCAGTGACAGTGAAGGAGAGACCAAGGGACGGAGCCACAGGGAACAGAGACATAGGAAAGATGAGGAAACACAAAGATCGAAATGAGAGAAAGTAAGAGACAGACATGGATGGCGCAAGGCGAGAGAATGACCAGTGGGGATAGGAAGGAAACGAGAAGTACAGTCAGGAAGTAGGTGCAGGAGGGGCAAGGAGAACCCTCACAGGAAGAAGGGAGAGGGTTGGAGCCTGGGGTTCAGGCAGTGAGGGTGAGCTTCCATAGATCCTGAGACTCTCTCTCCAGGGCCTACAGAGATGAGCACATATGAGAGCAGCAGTTTCCATGGCAGCTGCCTCCCAGCCAGGTTTCCTGGTAGATGGTGCTCAGGGCAACACCCTGTCCCCACCTCCCACCACTGCACCACCCTTCCAGGGACAGTGGGCATCAGGTGGTGGACCTGGTAGGGCCCGGGAGCCAGCAGCTAGAGGACAAGCCTTCTGCCTCACAGAGGTGGAGGCCACCCGTGTTTCTGTGGAGAGCCCCAGGGTGGCCTTCAGGGGAGACAGCACTGGACTAGATGTGGTCGCTGTCCTCATAGACTCAAGAGGGGAAGATAATGCCCCATTTCCTGAGGACACACCATGTGCCAGGCTGTTCCTGGGGCAATTTATGTCCATTGTCCCTAGATCCTTTCAAAGTTCAGCCAGGTAACGCCATTGTCCCCCATGTTACAGATGAGAAAGCTGAGGCTGAGGGAGAGTACATTACATGTCTAAGGTCACATGATGAGGAAATGGTCGAGGTGGGAAAGGAGAGACAAAGGACAGAGCCACGGGGCCCCTAGGTCTCTCTGAGGGTGACATCTGTGATTTTTGCATTGTGTTGCTCGATTCCATTCTTTTTTTTTTTTTTTTTTTTTTTTTTTAGGGTGTTGCTTTTTCCACTAGTGCC